TCCATCGTAAGTACACCTGTACCCTTGTCAATATACCCTTGTGTCATCTCACTTGTTCAAAATGTTGTTTATGCTGTTTTGTTAAAAGACAATGAGCTTTCATTTTTGTGCTGAGGTATTGATGGCAACAACCAAGGCAATGATGATTGATTTGAGTCTTGGGAAGTTTTGACCAAAAGTAGGTATAAGATCATTCATTGGTCTGAATGAGTAAATTCTCTGACAGTTAGAATTATTAGTAATTTATTTTAGGAAAAAAAATCTTTCTATTTCTTTCACAAGTTGGCAGAAGAAGCATCAAAGATAGGACTCCAAGTAAAGATAGGTGATGAAGATTCCTGGGCAACACCAACAACAGACAACAATCAGCATAAATGGGAGAAATGTGAAAGAAGCAACCTCATTTACCACCTACCTGGGAAGTATCGTTTCAACTACAGGCGGAACTGACGAGGATATCAAAGCAAGGATTGGGAAAGTAAGACAAGCTTTCACTACTCTCAAGTCTGTGTGGAGGTCAGCAGCACTCAGCATCAAAAACAGGATCCGGATTTTCAACTCCAATGTGAAGTTAGTGCTACTCACTATACGGATCAGAGACTTGCACTGCGCGTCATGAAGAGCATCTCAAACAAACTACAGACCTTAATCAACAGTTGTCTTCGCTCAATACTCAAGATCAGATGGCCGGTTAAAAAAGGTTAGCAACAGGGATCTCTGGGAGCGAACCAACCAAGAACCGATTGTGCAACAAATAAGCAGGAAGAAATGGAGGTGGATTGGCCATACTCTGAGAAAACAAACCATCAAGTGACATCACTAGACAAGCCATTGCTCGAGTGGAACCCGAAAGGGAAGCGGCGAGTTGGTCGTCAGTGCAAGGGTGACTTGGAGGAGGTCATGTGAAGAGGAGATGAAAACGTGTGGGCAGACTTGGAGCCAGGTGAAGACTCTAGCAGAGAACCGAACGCAATGGAGACGCACGGCTGAAGCCCTATGTTCCTCTAGGAATTAAAGGAAATAATAATAATTTCTTTCACTCAGCTTGATTTCCTTTTTGTGTTTTTCATTGCTCATTCTGATGATAATTCATTTCTTAGACATTTCACCTTATTACGCAACACTTTATGAACTACATTTACTCATCTTTACTATACCTGCATTACATTTTGACTAACCTTCGTTAATCTTGACAACTTTGCATTTTACTGTACTAGTTATGCAAGCATATAGTCAGGGTTCAACTTCCGGCCGACGCATTACTATACACCTTGCCTACTTCACTGGCCGATAATAAGTCCAGAAAAGAGGGAATGTTGGGTTTGACGCTAGTAAACCTACCCAGTAAAAAAAGAATAACACCAACGCCTTTCACACGGAACGCAAAAGAGTAAAATAAGTAACAAAATAACTATGTGCTTGAAGTCACTGGATGTAGAAACTTGTTAAAATTAGACAGTATTTTGATTTGACACTAGTAACTAGTGTGATGCGTCTAGTCCTCTCTTTGGTGCAGACTGAATTCTATCAGTCAGGTTGTAATGTGGCCACCATTCTAGGTAGCTCGCCATCACGGTGTACATTGTTTGTGATGATATTAGATGGTTGGAGGCAATCGTCAGGAAACCTTGGACCTAGGTTTCGTGCTAGTTGGCACTCTTCAGCAAGGCGTATCTGCAACCTTGAAGGAACTCATGTCCCTTCTGAGAATCGAACCCGAGTCACCCAATGCTGCAGTCAGAGACGTTACCACTGAGCTATTCGGGCTTGAGATTGACCTCTTGAAGGACTGTAGTGGGTATTTTGATTGAACAATAGTAACCAGTGCGATGTGTCTAATCCTTTCTTTGGTGCAGACTGGCTTCTATCAGTCAGATTCGCAATGTGGCCACCATTCTAAGTTGCTCGCCACGATTAGTTGTTTAGTACACTAAAATCTCATTAAGAACTATGCAATTCCACTCCTTCAGGTTATGTATCGATTCTTTATTTTCTGTATTACTATCTCTCTTGAGGTTCAACATCAATAGGAGAAGGTTTACAATTTGAAGTATTTTATGTAGACACCGTCCTTTTTTCTATACTACAGAATATCTACTGGAGTGAATCATGAATCTTGTTTTTTATTAGTGCTATACCAGTGTTTATTTTTTGTAGTACTCAATATTTCTTGAGAAATCATTAGAAAAATATCATATTAAGATTGTCATAGTGTAAAGGTAGAAGGTGAAAGACTTCGTGAAGGAATAGATATTTGCAATTCGGTATCTCTACATAGCAAAATTATGTACACCTTATCTTCAACGCACCATTTGCACAGATCTTCCGTGTTGTACTACTTCTGGCCCTCATATTGTGTTTCTTTGTACCCCATGTATCTCCGCATCTCAGTATCATTTGCTTTCTCTGACATCGAATGTATCTCCCTCCTATTTGATGTTTTTTTACGCCGATGAACATCTGTTTATATACTACCGATAAATCTTATGAGTAGCACACGTCACAATAGTACTGCATTAAAAGTATCTTTATTATATAGTTAGCTTTTTCCAAGCTATGCTGCCTGTAATGCATCCTAATGGATTTAAACTATTAGAATGAGCCGACAGTTACCAGTGAATAGTAAAACTTGGTTAAAAAAGGAGCCATTAAAATGTGTACACACAATTCTGAGTTCTGAATAAGTAGGATGACACAGGTGCCCAGCACCCCCTGTTTTTCAATGACTTTCTGATTGCTGTCAATTCGTGAGATATAATTTGAAATCAACTGAATCCTTGCATATCAATATTTGAAAACATAATCGGGAAGTGAATTGTAGTTGTTGTGATTATAATTTCTAGAAAGTTGTATAAGAATGTTGCTTTATCTAATGATTATAACATCCATATCAAGGTGATATAGAAATGATCAAATTTACTATTTATGAATTACTCATTTCTAACCAACAATTCACCGAAATTTCCTCATGGAAGTCTAAAATATTGAGATCAAAGTATCTAATCTGCTTGATATCATAGACTGCAATCAATAAAGTAAGCGAAATAACACGAAGGTATTTATACACCATTGATTAACTGACACGAGTAGTTCGTAACTGACTGTGTTCTCTGAGCTGAGTCTAACCGAGGAGACCACTGATGAGCTAGCTACGGAAAAAGCAGTACAGCCCTCTGGTGTTCTAAATCATGTCGATGTAACTAGTGGAGATTTGTGTGTAGTGTCATACAAACTCGAAGATCTACATGTGAAAACCAAGAAGCAGCTAAGACGAGGAATCAAGTGAACATAAAGAAGTCAGGGGTGGTGAGGATACTTAACCAATGAAAGCAAACATCAATTAGTATCACTGAGAGAAATATAAAGTGGATGACCTCTTTCACTTATCTGGACAGCATTGTGTCTAAACTACATTCGGATGGTACGAATGACACTGTCATAAGCGGGAAGGATCAAAAAAGCAAAACAGACTTTCATGGTCGGCCTGAATTTGGGCTACCGATATCCATGCTGAAAATTCCACACTTGTACTGAAAATACGGTGTGGAATCAAGCTGTAAATCAAAAAAATCTGAAATCAGCCTGGAAACCTACTTCCCTCAATCAGCGTACAGAAAAAGATTTGGATTTTGAACACATTAATGTCAAGTCAGTCAGTACTTCTGTACTATTCAAAGACTTTGATTACGCATCACGAAAAGTATATTCAACAGGATGTATACTTTCATCAATAGCTACCTCCACTCCATACACAGAGGATCAGATGGCCGGTCAGAAAGGATAAGCAACAAGGAACTGAGGCTATGAACCAACCAAGGATTCATAGTCCCACAAATATACCTCAGAAAATGGAGATAATCAAGTGTTGGTTTGTAGGGATTTGATTGGTCACAGGATTTTCAGTCGTGACCAGTAGGATGCAGCAGGTCGGCTGTGAGAACAAATACTCGCCGAAGACATTGGCTAGGGGTCGCGCTATGTCGTGAATTGGCAGAAGTTAGAATTCATGGGCCATTGGATGGGGTCCAAGTGGCTTAATGGTATACCAGCTCGCCTTGTAACCAGAAGGTCCTGGGTTCGAACCCTGGTGGGTGCGTACTGCTGAAGAGTCCCAAACTACAATGAAACAGCTGTCCAGTACTCCCTGAAGGTTTTCCAATGGTTCTCTAACTAATGTCAGCTCATGGTGAAAATGGAGATAAATCGGACACACGCTGAGGAGACTGTTGAGTGGCGTCATATTTAAAGGAGATCCTTAAGTAGAATCCAAACGGGAAACGACGCGTCTGGCACGAGTGTGAGGGTGACATGGAGGAGGTTGTGTCAGGAGGAGATAATAGCTTATAGGCAATCGTTGAGCCAGCTAGAAAGGACTGAAGAGAACTGGAGGAAATAGAGGTGTACTGTGGTAGCCGTATGCCTCACTCGGGCATAAGGGAATAATAATTACATTAATAAATCTATCTAGCAAACATTACTGGCTTCCAACTACTTCCACCAGTCAGTAGTATATATCGCTGGACAAAGAAATAAGTCTGTTATGTATTAAAATGTTACATAATTGTTTATTTAAAAAAAACAAAAAAACAAATCACTTATTCATGATAAGGTTTAAATAACCTAATTATCGTTGACATAGACGCACATTTATTAATATTAATAAAAGAACAATAAAGTTCTTGTTAGAAATCATAATATCCTAAAAATACGTGTCCTATTTGTTTGTTTGTTTATTACAAGTTTAAAATAGGCGGTAGTGAGTTAATTTCAGAGAGGCTTTTTTAAAAAATATCCCTATATATGTATGCGCGTATACATATACATACACATAAATATATATTGAAACATAATAAAACACTTATCAGTTGACACCATCAATAGGTATTAAAGACCATGAGGTAAAAACGATAGCAATAGTAATGATGATAATAATAATAATAATATTAGAAATAACCGGTTAATTATAGCTTACAGCAGTTATTATAGTCAATAATAATAAGTAGTAGTACTATTAGTAGTATTGAGTAGAAAAAAAACACAATAAGAATAAAGCTGTAGTTGATTTTTGTTGTTGTTTTGGTTAAATTTAATCAGTAAATTTAAGTGCACACTTGATGGTGTTTTGTAGTACGTGATAAATGAATACTTAGTTGTTGCATTTTTTCCATATAACCTTTTAATTCATCAGTTAATTGTTCACTTTCAGTTTCTAATTTCTTTAAATTTATTAGTATACCTAAAACAAAACAAAAAACAACACAGATAGCAATGATGATATATTCAATATTTATTGATTTATGTTGAATGGTTGGAGGTAATCTTCAGGATGGCCTGAACTTAGATTTTATGCTTGTTGGCGTTGGTTACCACCTGCCATTGACCACTCAAAGTATTCATTACAGTCCTACAAGCTCAGTAGTGATAACGTCTCTAACTGCAGTACATGGTGACCTGGGTCCGAATCCCAAGAGGGGAAATGAGTTCCTCCAAGAATGCAGATACGCCTTGCTGACAAGTGGCAACAGGCATGGAACCTATGTCTAAGGCTTCCTGCTGATTATCTCCAGTGCACCATGATGGTGAGCCACCTAGCATAGTGATCACATTGCAAACTTGACGAATAAAATTCATTCTGCACCAAAACAGAGGCTAGACTCATGGCATTAGTTACTACCTAGTGACCAATCGAAAGATAGTAGTTAATTAGAAGTAATGAAGAAGATTTTAGCTCAGGTGGAAGATGATTTTGGTTGTCATTCTTACTATTCCCTTGGGTTCTGAGTGGAACACGGGGCTTCAACAACACACTTACACTTCGTTCTATTTTCTGCCATCCTCTTAAGCTGTATCGACAATTGCCTATAATCCTTCATCTCCTCGTCTCACGACCTCCCCCATGTCACCCTTGATGTGACGACCCACTCGTCGCTTCGCGTCGGGATTCGAATCAAGACATTCCTTGGAGCACGATGTCATTCGACGGTCTCCTCAACGTATGCCGGGTCCGTCTCCATTTTCTCCCACATATTTGTTGAGCAGTCGGCTCTTGGTTAGTTTGTTTCCAGTCGGAGTTTCTTGTTACTTATTCTTTCTTGCCATTTGATCTTCAGCGTGGAGCCAGTGAAAGGGGCAGTTGTTGATGAAAGTCTGCGACTGGCTGTTGGAAATCCTTTTCGTTGTTTTTTTCGCTGTTGGCTGGTTGGTTGGCTATCTTCCTGACCTCCGTCTTCTCTGTTTTCACCTGGAGTCCTGTCTTCGCTGCCTCTTCAGCCAGTTTGTTGGTTTTCGCCTGCAAGTCTTTGCGTTTGTTTGACATTCGAAATATATCATCTGCGAAATCCAGATCTTCCAGAGTCTTCTTATTGGTCGTCCAGCGTATTCCTGACTCGTGGCTACCAATGGACAGTCTGACGCATAATTCAGTCCACCACAATTAAGAATATTATCGGTGATAATAGGCAGCCAGCCTTGTCTTACTTCTGTATTCACTTCGAACGCGTCGCTGAGTTTTCCGTTGTGGATCACCTGGCACGTAGTACTGTCATATAGCCAGGTTGATAAAGACTTAGGCACTGCACCCCGTAGTGTTGAAGTAGTTTACAAACTACTTCTCGGTGAACGCTGTCTAGTGAATGTCTTTTTGAAATCGATGAAGTGGAGGAAGGGGTTTGACTGCCATTCTATGCTTTGTTCTGCGATGATGATACGTAGAGTTGTAATTTGATCAGCATATGATTTACCTTTCTTGAATCCAGCTTTTCCGGTGGGTGGCGAAGTTCTGTATTTAGTGCATACTGTATTCTCTCCACGATGATGCGAATTAGTATTTTATTTGGTGTGAACAGGAGCATAATTCCACGCTAGTTCTTGCAGAGTCAAGCGTAAGTCGCCCTTCTTTAGTAGCTTGACAAGTTAGCCAGCCTTTCTTCCAAACCTTTTGCAATAACGACGTGAGTACATGTGCCGCAGTCTTTGGGTCCGTTTTCACTACTTTAGGCGGAATTCCGTCTGAGACGTATGGATGATTTGATTGTGAAACTTTCATTTTTGTCTTTTCAGACAAAATCATTAGCGCTAATTCCTTAAAAATGACCTAAGAGTTTAATAACAATCTCCACTGATAACCTTAAACATGATTGGTTGTCTCTGGGATTTTTCTCATTTGATCTGCATCAATAGATCTGCTGAATGCAGATTCATCTGATTAACTTACCAGGTTTCTAGGAATTCCATGGTATTCATGGTGTTTCACTCCATATTGAAGATGTTGTCTAGTGAGATAATGAAATCTTCGCAACTAAACTATTCAGCCCAGAGAATGTAATTCCACCGACAGTAATAGTAAATACCAGGAGTAATCCTACACCTCTTTCTATTATGGAGAAAATTTATTTTGAAAATGTCACACAGTGTTATACAGTGTACTTACTGATGACGTTTTCAGCACAATTTAGTACTCATAATCATATCAATTTGAAGATATCATTAGGAGAGATAAGTTGTACTAAAAATGTCATCAGTTAGTATCATTGTATAACACTGTTAAACTTTTCCAAAATAAATTTACTCCATAACAGAATTCTACTCTACCACAACGCTCAAGTTCTATTTGTATACCAATAATCTTACTTCTGACTTACAGGCCATAAATATTCATATGTGTAATTCAAAGATGAATCAAGTGTTTATTAGCGTTGTAATAAACAATAGGAAGCAAAGAGTTTTGATGTCTGTCTGATATTAGTTAAATATTATTTTAAACCTAACCCGAAGTTCTCATTTTACTGAACATAACGACTAAATTGAACTTAATGAAGAAGTTGTCTAGGATGCTCAAGTAACGGTAGTTGATTGTTTCCAGTTTTGATCGTGTGAAAAAGTCACAACAGGACGAAATAGTAATTGAATAGATAAGATGGAAATAGACGAAGCGGTATTATATCCATGTGTATGTAGGAATAAGGTTTTCTTTCAGTAACGTCAAGTACTTCACTCACTGTTCATAAATGAGATTACTAGTACAGACCAATACTAGATGGAGAATTGTCTTACATCTGAAAAATGTGAAGTAAATACAATCCACCCGGATATATGCTTAAAATGTTCACAAGATGTCGGATCTTCTCTTGGTATTCTTTGGACAGAATTGCATAGTTTGCATTTAAGACACATGAGTTTTTCTCTTCAACGACGATGCTAGGAATCCTCGTTCGAGGACCCATTAAGCGAAAGTAGAGTACTTAAACCGACAAGTTACACTTCCGAAGGTTGTTAGCAGACAGGGGGTTTCAACCCACAGAACCCCTGGTTATGCGCTGAAGACGCTTCCCCTGCATTCTTTATCTACATCGCAAAACACTAACTGTGCATTGTGATAGTTGTCAGTTGAACAGTTCCACTTACTTTTCACATCATCACTATTATCTTCTAATGTACTGGTGAAATTTTGTACTTCTTCCATTAATTTAGTTGGATCAGTTAGTGTTGTCTCTGGTACACCTATTTCTGCTTCAGGTCTTTTTTCACCTGTATCTAAAAGACGCATTAAATTGTCAAGTTCTAACATTTTCTCATCCAGTTGCTTGAAGGATACCTGAGAAATGGATAAAAAAACAGAAAAGTTTGTAAAAGTAAAATAACTAAAAAATGAAGAGTTAGAAATAAACATTAAAAATCTGTAGAAAACCCTTGGAGAGGGTGTGTGTGTGAATACTCCTTGTACTTCTACGAAGTAAAAACGGCATATGGATATACTAGTGAATACCGTCATAATAGTGAGAACTATTCCTTAATCAAATGGGTACCAGAGAAGGACTATGAAACTCTTTTAGGTCTATTTTGTAATTAGTTCTGTTCCGTGTTTAACCAGAATTGGGTAGTATGAAGATTCTATAATCTGGATATTTAGAAAAATCCTTAACTACACACACACACACTTTTCTGTATTGTCTCTTTGTCTTGTTATGAATTCTTGGATGTGTAAACCCCCAGAACTGCATTTACTGAATCTAGTAGGTGTGAACGACTCGCTACTGCGAAAAGCATTAAAGACTCAGTACAGTTACCATTAAAAAAAACAAGGCAATATTCCTCTCTATTGCGTATTAAACAGCTTATAAACTTGACAGTTATTATTGACATTAAGTCTAAATCCTTCGCGAATCAGATGAAGTCTTGATTGAGCAGAAATCTTCGAATGTTCGGCATGCAATTTCTCTCTTGTTAAATATAAGATGATTGTACAGGACTGGACTACACCTACTCCTAGCTTAAAGATACGGAGTGAAATGGTGGAATGTTCTGACCACTTTAGTAATTTGAGAAGTTGCTGGCGAAAACTCAACAAGGTTACAAAAAGTTTGTGTGGCATTTGCCAACTTACTTAATTTCTAACGTAGACGTGATATCTGACTGTCAATCAAGGGACGTATGTACTGAGCAGCAGTTAGCTCTATCCTTCTTTATGGCTGTGAGGAATGATAGTTGAAGGTGGAAGATTTTGACCACAGATGTTTGTATTCTACCTCTGGTGTCAAGTGGTATAATATGGTTAACCATAAACTGTTAGGCAGGTAGAGAGACAAGTCAATCGACGGTGTTGTGAATCTGCATCGACTGAGAACGTTATGATACATGTTATGAATGCTGAGCCTCTGTCTTCCTTGACAAACAATGGTATTTGGCGTGGGATGAGATTGGAAAAGAGTTATGGGTAGTCAAACCAAAACCTCGTCGTAGTCTATGAAATCTGTGATAGTTGGTTTGAGGCATATATGTAATGATTAATGATTAAGGTATTTGGTAGCCCAAGATTTAAGCAGGCCGCCAAGGAAGAAGGTGTAGATTGTATGCCTGAGTTTCCAGGGATAGAAGAAGCAATGGCGGGAGACTGTTAATGATATAGCTCAAAATCGTTCACAGTGACGCAGATATATGCGCTCTTTGTACTGCCGCATATCGTATTAATGTACATTTTCCCGTACATTTCTGCTTATTGTGAATCTCTTTTCTCTCTCTACCTTTGTTTGCTAAAAGGAGTGTGGCAAAATGAACTGCTGCACCTCTGTGCAAAGTTCCATGCCGAAAGTTAGTCAATCAGTCAGCTTAGATAGGCCCTACTACTTCTTCTATCGCCGCTACTAACATAGTTGTGTATTAATTGCTGCTGTTATATTTAATATATGACTAGATACAATAATGAGTAATTCATTTTCCTATTAGAATAAAAATTAATTCTCTTCTTGTATACTTCAAATGCCTTTTCTCATCTATATAACTAGCAGTGAATTTGTAATAAGCATGATACGACTGTACCGAGGTATGCACTAGATATCCCCAGTTAATTTTATCCACCAAGTTTTGCTTTCATAACAACTCTCTACTAATATTAGTAGTGGATGACTGTGGCACTCTATTGCGCGAATTGACGTAGTCTAGGATTTATGGGTTATTGACTGAATGATCAACGGATTCAATTCGTAACCAGAAGGTCCTGGATTCGATCCCGAATGAAGTCTTCGGTGTAGGCTGACGATAGCCCCACCCTAATGCAAAACAGCTATCCAGTAACTCTACAGTTTACAATGATTCTCTGATTGACATTAGTTCTTAATAAAATCTATCTCAAAAAGTGTGAACACTGAAAAAATAAGCTTACTGATATTTTCCACTTCAACACAATCAATTAGTAACTTACTTCAACAAGTTCAATCTGTTGTTGTGTGTCCAATGTCTCACGTCTAGCAACATTTGTACTTGACAGTAAATTCTGTGCTATTTCAGATGCTTCTCTAACCATATCTGATTGTAGACTGGAGTCGTGTGCAAACATGTTCACTTGATTTTTGAAGCCATCAATTCTTTCTGTTAACTAAATAAAATTTAAGAAAACACACAGTCTTAATGAGAATAAGAACACTGACGAAATACAATTATTATACAAGATTACAGACTACTGAAATGATTCAACTTATGTTGATCAGTATTATGTCATGCTTTTCAATACGTACCATAAGGCGTTGAAATAGATTGTAACACCTTTTGTGACTACTCATCACTAGGTAGGTGAAACATTTATACCCAATAAACTCCATAGTTAATAGTTTGACAATTTGCAGAGTTTCTCTTTTGACTATTCAGTATTTTCATCATCCTACTCTGTCCAATAAATGTACGAGTGTATTTCTGCAATATTATCTGAGTTCTTCCGTAACGACAGAAGACAAGGGCCAGGCAACAGATCTTTTATTGAGAAAATCAAAAGATATTTATAGATTTTTATGTACATTACTATATGTTATTGTTAGCAGAGAAACAACGTCTTCTGACTGGTTGTTTTCTCGCTGGAAGTTATTCTGTCATCTCTTTGTAGCTATTTCTTTGAAGGTCAGACCACATATCTGCACTGAATTTCTTGTTGGTTAAAATTATAGTGGACTAAAGTGCTCGGTCTTCGTTGTCATTTCGGCTTATACTACGGACTCTTAGACGAAAAATTCGAGATTGATATAACAGTACAAGGTGATATCCATTGTACAAGAGAGTGGCTCACACAGTTCACTTGCCTAGTGGATAGCGCTACGGCGTTTAGAACGACAGGTGATGAACTGCAGTTTTAGTGAGAACAACACCACTTACTGAGGATTCTGGTGCATCCAGTGACGAGTCCTAAATAGGATGAAACGTGCATCCTAGTCTCCATTATTAACCAACTTCAGTCAAACAACACTACAAAATCTGACCTGTGTTCAGTATCAGCTTTAAAACAGAAATGAGAGAAACAAACTTCAACTGACTGACCTGTGAGATTTGATCAAATAGTTCAATATCATCAACCTTTTGAAGAATTGGTTTTTCAGATAATTCTTGATATATTTTATCAGCTTCTTTTAATTGATTTACTTGTTCGGCGAAATCTTTTGCTTTATCCCTGCAAAAAAAATGCATTAGAAAAGTTTTGAAGAGATTTTAATAAGTTGGTTGAAAGTTCAAATCAAGGTGAAATAATGCAGTGTAGGTATCGTCACGGACCGACATCAACAACAATTTAGTGTGTAACAGCTAACTCGCCGTAGTTTGGAGTCTTCAGTGGTGAGTGCGAACGCTTCAACTAGAGGTAGAATGTAGGACTGTCAGTTCAAATGGTGAGCTTGCTAACCATTCAGTCACGTAGTCGGTATACAAGGGTCAGTAAATTTTTACTTCTATCAATGTATACTTGCATGTGGCGCAGAAATGACATTTAAATTAAACTTAGTGAGGGATATTGTTAGCTAGATTTTGGAAAAAAAATCTATATCATATAACATTCGCTTATATCCTTAATTAAAATGTACATTTGTGCCATGTAGAAAAAGCCTAGCACCGCGTCTTTATCGTTGAATAAAGTGAGACATAGTGATGACATACTCATTGCGAAACTAATTCCATGTGGTACAGGAAAGTAAATACTCATAAATAGGGAGTTTCAGACTAGGCTCAAGCAACTGGTTACTACGACCACTTAGTTTTTATTTATTTTTTGTTGTTGATATAAGTGTCTTTGCTGCATTTCCATAATTTTGCTTAACTCTTGCCTAAAACCTTAAAGTAACCGTATTTCACAGTATACCTCACTCCTGAGACCTTTTGAATAGCCTGCTCTTTTTCAAGACTGCACCCCCTCTCCGTTGGTAGCTAACTCCTTGAACGTATTAGCTGATTTATTTGTCTGTCAGAGTCACCTAAACTCTAGATATTTAGCATCACTGTCAAGTGTTTTGACTGGTGTTTGAGACAGTGAAAGCTCTATTGTCAACAATCCGTCTTGTATGTTGGTTTTTCTGAATACCGGTGGCGTTGCTTTTGTGGTAGTTGACATTATGGCCAGCCATTAGAGTAGTTAACATTAGCGCATTAAGTTCGTATTGCTAGCAGTGTAATAGGTTGTACTACTAGTCAGAATAGTCTTAACGTGACAAAATATTAATAGGAATACCGGCTGATATCAGTGAACGTTCGACACTACCAAAAACAGCGATGTGAAGACTCATAAAATGATACTAGCTCATGTATTCCTCCAACAGAGCAAGACGAGGCGACCAAGATTTGCGAAAATTACCAGGGAATCTATCTATCTATCGCGAATACTGGGCCTCTATAAAAATGGTGAAATTTGATTACATGTGTCTATATGTACAATTTGAACCATGATGGGTAGACTGGAAATATCTGACAACTGCCAGCAAGCACGAAACCTAGGTCTGGGGCTTCATGTTGATGGCCTTCATTTATCGAGCATCAATCCAAAATGCATTACACGAGGAGTCATCTAACTCGGTAACCTCATTACAAACTTGGCTGATAGAATCCAATCAAAACCAAGATCAAGGATTGGACAAATAACATTGATCACAACACAGTGACCAGTCACCGTGTACATTTAGGAAGTCATACGTCCAGACTAAATTCATAAACCAAAGTGCCATCCTTAAATGATTTTTTTAGAAATAAATCTGTGAATTCATGAGACAAAAACTACACCAAAACCTATTCATTATCCGGTCTATGATGAATAATATTCAGTATCAAAAATTATTATAATTACCTAATGTTTTCGGCACGTCTTAATAAGTTTCCAGTACGCTGACGATCTGCTTCAGTTTCAGCTAGTATACGATTAACTTTATCTTCTAAGTTGACTGCATACTGTTCTAACTGTTGAATAATCTGTTGTGCTTCATACTGACTAACATTCAGTTTCATTTTTTGAAGTGATCTTAAAGTCTAATGAAATAAAAGTAATTTGTATTATTAAATTTTGATTATTAAAATAATTTTTAGACAAGTGCAAATACTTTTCTTTAGTTTCAAGTTAGATAAAAAAAATAATATCAGTTGGAGAACAAGGTAAAATCGGGGATTACTGGACAGAGACTTCGTCCCGCTCTAGGACTCTTCAGAAGTGCACACTCATCATCCCACCGTTGGTGGAACACGGGACCTTCAGGTTACGAGGCTCGTAGACCATTTAACCAATGCGATGACATCTAGTGGGCCATGAATTCCTACGTCTACTAATTCATAATATATTGGGCTACCGCCAGAAAATGTCATTTCTGAGTACCTGTCGTCATATCCGACTTGGTGAAACTCACTGGTCACAAATTCTCAGCAGAAATCCCTTCGACTGCCTCATTTATTCATTCGCCAGTGAGCATTAGATTAACTTTCAGGTCTTGACTTGCTGAAATGTGACTGATTTCTAGTTAGATCACAAACTAACACCAGTTAGAGAACCATTTTGGTGCTGATATCACCCAAAATACGACGAAATAGTTCTTCAGCACTCTGTGATTTTAAGTGGTTCTCAAACTGATGTTAGTGGTCTGATTCAAAATCAGTAAAATCTCTAGAGATCAGTACCTGGAAATGAGTATAACTGATGGTCCCTGGTTTTCAGTGGTTATCTGAAGTTCATCTTAAGCTTCTTGTTATCAGTTGCTAAATATGACCTCTATTCCTTAGTTATCAGGACATCTAAACGGAAGCAGTTAGTTATAACAAGAGTTCATTTAGCAGTCACAGACGTGAAGTTTGATCCACAAAGAAGAAAGAACACCTTCGGGTGCTACAATTCTATAACTGCCGGTAACCAAAACAGGTTCAAACACGTGATGAATTCATTTCATATCTTAGAATCCGTTTGAATAACTGGTTTGCAATCAAGCTTTCCCTACTCTTCTAGATGAATCTATCGTGTCCACCATTTTGGTGGTGGTGACTTGGAGACACCCATATTCACTCCTTTAATTTTAGAAGAACACACTCCTTATTGTGCTGGCATTGAAAAGAACTTGCCTTACAGATGCTATAAACACGTGAATACATTGGGACATTTTCAGTGGACAACCAAAGTCAAATCATTTCCGTAATAGATAAGTTAACACAGAGTTTTTTATAGTTACAGTCATACGAATGTACCTTCTTCTTGAATGAAATACACTGGAAAATCAACTGGCTATGTAATATTAATAAAATTAAACTGACCGGTAACGAAGGTCTGCATAACCCCTCAGTACTAATCCCCTGTAGTAAACAGTATCACTTTAGCGCGCTAAATTACATCAATGTAGAATGATGATTGGATGGGCAAGCCGGTAGATTATTCAAGCAAAATGCTAAACTGAATACTCATCTCACCTTACAACATCTGCAAATCAAAGCAGCATGATAGTCGCTTAGACAGTGGCTTTGTTTTTTGGTCATAATATGATCCTAGTTACCGAGTTGTAGACTAGTTAGTTGACGAAGTGGCGACAAATTGTGAAGAATTTCAAATTATTCACTATTGGGTAAGCTGAGATCTTAGGTCAATTACTTTATCTGTAAATAGTTATCAGAACAGTAGTCGGCCATGAAATAGGTGGCTGATGTCAGAAGGCAGAATGTTGAACCACTCAAAAACAGGATTATTTGTGGAATAGGACTTATTCTAATATGTTTATTTAGTGTAGTGGATAATGATTGAAGGCACAGTGAAAATCTTTACCGTGGCAGAATTAGAACCAACGGTATCTGAAATACTAGTCCGAGCTGGCCTACAAGAACTGTCTTACGCCAACAATCACGGATAATGACTCGGTGTCATATAAATCAATGAATGATACGTTATTATTATTCGCATAGATCCCGAGTAGAACAAATGACTTCAGTAGCACATCTTCATTCCATCCTGTTATCTTCAATCCTCTTTATGTGGCTCCATTATTGACCAAAAGCTCTTATCTTCTCCTCACACGATCTCTTAGATGCCACACTTTGACTAACGCCAAACTAATCGTTTCTCATTTGGGTTCTACTTGAGGGCCAGTTTAATAAATGATGTCACTCGATGGTCTTCTCACCGTGTGTCATTTCCTTCAGCATTTTTGTTGGGCTGAATTCTTGGTTGACTCCTCCCGAGAGTTCCCTGTACCTTTTCCTTTCTGATATGTTACTGTCCACTAATCATAACACTAGCCATCCACACCATTCTGAATGTTGTACACCTTTAACCTTTAAAGTTATGCACAATAATCTTACGTACTATAAATAACCATTAGACAAAGATAATAGTACACTTACTTCATCAAACTTATCCTGTCGCATATTGCTGTATATATCCAC